GTATAGGTTGGTTTCTCATTATTTGCATGACATGTATATGTATTTTATAATTTTTATTTACAGTAGAATATTTAATAAAGATCAATCAAACTTTCTGTCATATTTAAGACTCTAAATGTAACAGGGGTTTCAAGAGTTCTTTTTGTATTTTATTCTTATAAATGATATTTGTATGTATTTACAGTGCCTGTCAGCCTCTGGGTAGCTAACCTAAGTGTTTAGTGGTAGAAAGGTTGTTACTATGAGTTGACTGAGTGTTTTGAGCGTGGTGAGTGGTAGGTAGTGGGTGTTAATACCAGTCCTGTAATGAGGAGGTTTCACTCTATCAGTATGGTCTTTACTGAAAGGCTTGCTATCAACAGTGCATCTGGATCAATACTTGGTATTAATAGGCATCCAGGGTACTAGGACTCACCTGTGATTGATTTGGTTCCCAAAAGGGAAAGGACTAACAATACTTATTAAGCTTTAACAAAATTAGTTGAAGATTAATAGATATTGTTAATGGGAATATTCAGCAAGGCTATGAATATTGTGGATAAGTTGAGTGGTTGACTGAAGCTCAAGAACAATATAAGTAGGCTTGATTTAAGTTGAGTTACGTGTAATGTATCAAAATAAATGTTAACTATGTTTAACTGGTGTCTGAATATTCTGGGGGTTAATCAGTGAAAGAGGCAAGGATTATAAGTTGCAGAATATTGAAGGAGGTAAAGAATGAGCGCTCAGAATCAAGGGATCTTTGGCCTGGAGGATGAACTCATCATTTGATTTGACTGATCTTTATTTTTCATGATCAGTAAGTGACATCATAATTGTGTACTAGTTGCTCTTGATGCGTGCACTATAACAGATCATCTAATATAGCAGTCATAATTGTGATCAGTGCATTTATTGAATGTATTGATTCTATTAGCACTTAATACTTATTATTCAATACATGTACATATTTATTTGTAATGGTATTTGACCGTGAAAATGCTGTAGGACAGGTATAACTTGTGGTACAGGTATTTCAAGGATAAGGGAGTGAAAGGTAAGTGATAATTACTTATGGATAAACTGTGTTTGCTTATACATAAGCCAGGCTCCCTCTCCCCCTTGGGAGGAGAGAGAACCATTTTTTAGCTCGCTTATGTGAGCAAAACATCCGGGTATGTTTTGCTCGCGTGAGCGAGCTGTCCCTGTTATTTCCTGAGGCGGTGGTTGAGGAGAGAAAAGGAGGGGGAGGAAAGAACTGGGATGGGGGGGGGAAGAAACAAACAGAGCAGGCTGCTTACCTCATCAAAAAATCCGGGGATGTTTTGATGAGGTAAGCGGCCTGCTATCAAGGTTCTCTCTCCTCCTTGGGAGGAGAGAGAACTTAATTGATACTTGATATTGATAAGGAGGAGAGGGAGGATTATGTGAGCAAAACATCCCTGGATGTTTTGCTCACGTAAGCAAAGGCAGCAACCTTACCAATTCAATATTGGTAAGGTTCAGAGCAGCGCTTGAAGCTACCCGCCGGTCCAGAATCAACCTATGTTGGTTCTTGGCTGGCGTGCAATCCTACCCGCCCCTCCTGGAGGGGCGGGTGCTTCTGCACGCCCCTCGCAAGACAGTTTCCTCGAAAAACCAGGCTTCCAAGGGGCGTGCAATGAAACCCACCCTTCCTGGAGGGGCGGGTTCAACTGCATGCCCCTTTGAGAGGGGCGGGGGTGTGGGCAGGCGGGGAGGGGGAGGGAGTGCAATTATCAAGGCACAGTGTACAGCCCCTTGAAAGAAAAAAAGGAACCCCTTAATTGGAGTCCAGAGGGCAAACCAATGGACTTAAATTCATGCTTCCTGGTGAAACTGTGGAAAATGAGTTATAAAGAATGATTCTGAAAAATTGGATAGGAAATTATTTTGTAAAAAGTTTGTGTATTTTTCCCCATTTTCTGGTTTTTTGGTATTTTATAATCATTTTTCATAGTAGCTCAGAAAATCATGATCAACACAATTGCATGCGAAAAGAATGATTATAAATGAAAAATTAAAAAAAGTTGATCAACAGCTTTTTTAAGCATGCCTTGATTGTGTCATCCACCAGACCAACACTCCAATCAGTCACTGAAACTGAATTCAATTTCATCCTCAATCCAACTTCTTCAGCTCTCTAAACTTTTGATTATTGATTTTTCTCAATTTTTCATTTATAATCATTCTTTTCACATGCAATTCTGATGCTCCAGAATTTTTGTGCTAATTTGAAAAATGATTAAAAAAATATCAAAAAGAAATCAGAAAATGAGGAAAAATATGAAAAAAAATTACAAAACATTTTCCTAGCCAATATGTCAGAATCATTCTTTAGAACTCATTTTACACTGTTTCACCAGGAAGCATGAATTTAAGTCCATTGGTTTGCCCTCTGGACTCCAATTAAGGGGTTCCATTTTTTCTAACAAGGGGCTGTACCTCTTGGTTGTTGAGGTGTACACCCTCAAAGGCTGAGAGGATGTCTCTCAGCCGTGGAGTTGTACACCATCAAAAGCCAAGAGGTTTTTGTTGGCTGTTGAGGGTTATACCTTTATGTAACACCCAAGAGAAATTCTCTCAGCCGTCAAGAGAGCACTCTCTGTGGCCGGGAGGAATCCCTCCTGGCCGCTGTTTTTTTTTGATCACAGACCCCCCAAAACCACTTGGTTTTGGGGCATCAACACCCAACCCCTCTGGGGGTTTTTTGTCTTTTTAATTGAATTTTTTTGGGGGCTGACTCCCAAACCCTTTGACGGGTTTGGGGAATTGACTCCCAAATTTTGGGGAAACCCGGGTTTGGGAGTTGACTCTCCAATTTCTGGGAGTCAGTTGACCAAGTTCCTATAATTACACATGCAATCAAAAAAAAAATGTTGAAAAAAAAATCAAATTTTGTAGTTCTTTCAATATTGAGAGAGTGGAGAAGAAAGAATAAAAAAAAAGTCAAAAATGTTTTCTTATTGTTGTTTTTTGAGGGGATTAATAAACTTACCCTGTTTTTCTGCTATCCACACCTGGTTTTTCACACCCACTTTTCTGCTTCTACAACTGGTTTTTCCCAGCCTTTTTGTTTCAATTTTGTGGATTCCAAATATTCTAAAAATCATTCAAAATCCAGCATTCTTCTTGGGAATGTTATAAATTCCCAACAGAGCATTTTAATTTTCTGTATTTTTCTCACCCATTTTTCACCAACTTTTTTCTCCCTATGAATTTTTGAAAACTTGAATTATAGCTATAAATTATTATTAATTGTCAAGTTTTCAGTTTTTCTTCTCCATATAGATGACACCATTCAAGATATTTATTATTTTGTCCATTTGCTTATTACTCAAAACCAACAACATTGGGATTTCCAAAATGAAATCAAATTTGGTTCTTGATTTCCCAAAGATTGGGCAATATCAATGATAAATTTAAATGTACTTTGAAGTTGCAAAAACTCATAGGCAGGAAAAAAATGATGAATAGAATCAGTTAAAATTAAAAGTTCTCTTTTGAGGATTTTTTATATACCCAAAAATAATGTTCAATTTTAGAAGAATTTTAGCATATTTGGAATTGCCAAAAAATGAATTACAAAGGCTGGGAAAAACTAGGTGTAGAAGCAGAAAAGCGGGTTTGAAAAACTGGGTGTGGATAGCAGAAAAGGGGGGCACGTTTATTAATCCCCCTTTTTTTAATTTTTTTATACTTTTTTTGTTCAATGGAAGTAATAAACATCACCATGGAGTGTTATTCTACCATCAGGTGGAACCACCCTTTGCCTCAATGACGGCCACCATACTATGCAGCATTGATTCAATGAGGTGGTCAAGGATGTCATTAGGGAAGTTGACCCAGGATTGGTGGAGGGCCTAGTGCATTTCCGGGATGGATCATGGCTGGTAGAGCTCTTGAATTTCTTGAATTTTACTCTTGAGGACCTTCCAGACATTTTCAATGGGGTTGAGGTCAGATGATTGTGCTGGCCATTTGACTTTCTCAATCAAATACAAGTTAAGGAATTCACAGCTGAGCTTAGAGGTGTGGACCGAGGCATTGTCCTCCATGAGGGTGAGTTTGTGGTGGGGTTTGTTTTCTTCAAGGAAGGGGATCAAGGCCTTCTCATATACCTTGATGAATTGTTCAGCCTTTGGTTGGTTGGGGGGATGATCATCAGAGGAGCACAAGTGGTTCCAAAAAATACTCCTCAGACCATTGTTGAAGTCTGACCAATCTTGAATGTTGGAGTTAGATACTCTTTTTTATAGGGGCTTGGCTAATCGACTCCCAAACCCCCAAAACCCCCAATTTTGGGAGTCAATCCCCCAAACCTGTCAGCAGGCTTGGGAGTCGGATCCCCAACAATTTTAAATAAAAAAACTGAAACCCCCAAATGGGGGGGGGGGGGGGAGTTGATGCCTCAAAACCCACTGGGTTTGGGGGGTTGGCAAACCAAAAACAGCCCCCAACGGCCGGGAGGGAATCCTCCCGGCCATTGAGAGCACACTCTCACGGAGGGTGTATACTCTCAATGGAAGAGAGTGCATACCTCTTGGCTGTTGAGAGTGTATAATCTCAATAAATGAGAGAAAGCCTCTCGGTTGTCGAGGGTGTACACCGTTGGCCTCTGAGAGGTACACGACCGTTGAGTGTACCTCTCAACGGTGGAGAGTGTACCCGAGAGGTACACTCTTGGCTTTCAAGGTGTGCACCCTCAGCAGCCAAGAGTGTTCTCTTGGCCCACCGGTGTCTTGGCCGTTGAGGGTGCACAACTCAATGGCCAAGGGTGAAACCCCCTCGGTCATTGAGGTGTGCACCCTCAACAACCAAGTAGGGTTGATGGCGCCACCCCAAGGGCGCGCCTTGCACGCGCGCTCTTGGAGCGCACAAAATGATGAAAAAGGGGGGTGTGCGCGCACCGCTAACCCTAGCTTTTTTGGGGGGCTCTCTATGTGCAGCCCATAGAGGATTACAGTTTTTTTTTTGGGGGGGGGGTTTCTTGAGATTGGATTTTATTTTGCCCCCGAAGGCCCCTGATCCCCGGACCCAATACTAAAATTTTCAGGTTCAGTCAGCTGGTGGTGGGGAAAGAAATGTTTGGGGGCAAGAAAAGTCTAAGTTTGAAAAAAAAGAGAAAAAAAACAGCAAAACCTGTGCAAAACAGTTTCTGAATGTGGAAATTGCACAGTGCCCCAGCGCGCCACTCCTGTGCCTGACAACGGTGCGCACTTGGTAACAATTTTGGACGCGCCCTTTGGCGCGCACTTTTCCAAATGTGGCGCCATCAACCCTACAACCAAGAGAACACTCTTGGTTGTTCAGGGTGTACATTCTCAACAACCAAGAGAAATCCTCTCAGTTGTTGAGAGTGTACACTCTCAATGGCGGAGCGGCTTTCTCTCAACCGTTGAGGGTGTACACTCTCAATGGCCAAGATAAAGCCTCTTGGCCATTGAGAATGTACACTCTCAAAGGACAAGAGGTATACACTCTTGTCTGTTGAGAGTGTACGCCCTCTGTGAGAGTGTGCTCTCAATGGCCGGGAGGATTTGGCCTTTGGGGGCTGTTTTTGGTTTGCCAACCCCCAAATCCCAGTGGTTTTTGAGGCATCAACTCCCCCCCCCCCCCCCTTTGGGGGATTTCCAGTTTTTTTTTTATTTAAAATTGTTGGGGATCCAACTCCCAAACCTGCTGACAGGTTTGGGGGATCGACTCCCAAAATCGGGGGTTTGGGGGGTTTAGGAGTCAACTCTCCAACTTTTGGGATTTCAAAGAAGGAATTGTCAGTCCACACGATCTTCCTCCAGTCCTTTTAGTGTTTTTTGAATTGCAAGCCACATTGCTTGTGGGTTTCGGTGGGGGGTTGATAAGCGCACGCCAACCCCCATGGCGCACGCCAATCTGCACGCCATTGCAGAATGGCGTGCAGGCAGGCACGCCACTCGCCTGCAGGGGGTATATCCTGCAGGTTGGCGTGCCTGCCTGCACGCCCAATATGGGTCCTAAACGCATATTTATATGCGTTTAGGACCTGGGCTGTCCCATAGGACCCAGGCATGGGTCCTATGGGACGGCCCCGCTGTTTTTTTTTTTTTTTTTTTTTTTTTTCAAACCCCCTCGGCCTAGAGAGGCCGAGGTCACATCGCCGGGAGGAACCCCTCCCGGCGAGCCTGTGTACATGCCAGTTTGTCGGAAGGAATCCCTTCCGACAAGCTGGGTTAGGTACCCACTCCTCGGAAGGGTTTCCTTCCGACGAGACTGGTATAAAAACCAGCTCGCCGGGAGGAACCCCTCCCGACGAGCTGGATTATGTACCAGCTCCTCGGAAGGGATTCCTTCCGACG